CTCCTTATCCTTAGTTCTGGCAAATTTAACTATGATATGCCTTGATGTTTTTCTTTTGGGGTCGAATCTATATGGTGTTCGCTGAGCTTCCTAGTTTCCTTTTATTAAGTTTTGTGGTGTTTATTATTTACCTTGCTCTTTGTATACTCGGCTTACTTTTCCTCTCCCCCCACCCTATGTTTTACTAGGAAAGACAGCAGTATTTGGCATTTGCAAGTGTAGGCTCAGGTGGTGAAGACAAGTGATTTATCCTTTGAAAAATCTTAGCTTCTTTAGAATTACAAATTTCATGGTATTAGTTAAAAATGGAAATACTGGTGCACTTCTCCCAGTGGATATTTTGGAAATTATTGCCACCGCCATATAATTGACAGATTTGCTGGTCTAGGGCAAAGCCATTGGCTGGATGAGGCTTACCCTTGGTTTTCTTTGCTTCTTCCCTCAGCCCTCCCTTCCCTGAGAGTCAGCCCCGATGACTGCGGCCGTGCCCCTGACAGCCCAACAACAGGTGAGCTGTGAACCCCTCACGTCAGCTGTAGGTCTGATTTGAAGGAAGTGGGGGATGATGAGGGTGATGAGAGCCAGTGCAATAGGATGACGCCTGTTGGTTCCCTCCATTGTAACTGGGTGTTGGGGAGAGAGCGAACGGAGAGTGGCTAAGCAGCTAGAGTCCCCAGAATCCCTGAAGTGGATGGAGACAGCTGGAGAGAATGTGGAAGGAGAAGTGCAGGCCCCTGTTTTCTGTGGTTCTTTGTCCAGTCCCAGGACGGGTCCGCAGGTCTAGTACTCCCCCTGCAGAAGGGCCTGCATGAATGAGCATGGCAGTTAAGGTCCAATGTACAGAGTGAGCACTGTCCCAAGGTTCTTGGGCATTGAAGAAGTGAGGGCTGAAGTATAATGAGCAAAAGATAAGAAAAAGGGAGAACACCACTTGTTCTCCAAAAGAAGGGTGAATTTTAGAATTATGTTCATTACAACTGGCTGAGGGAGGCACTGGAATGGGATGGAGGAATTTTTACAAGGAAGCAGAAAAGCTGAAGTTAGGGATCCCATCACCAGGCCTTGTAGCTATGAGCCATCACTTAACCTCTTTGTGCCTTAAGTAACTTCATTTGCAAAGTGAACATAGGTATATTCTGGGGACAGGGAAAGTAATTTGTTGGTAGGTTCCTCATGGGATTTCTCTATCTAGTAGCTTCATGTCTATACTCCAGGTCTCAACTGTGGACTTCCCACCTCTGTCAGCTCTTTCTGCCCCGCTAACTCGCTGATGGGTTGTCTTCCTTATAACTCCCAACCCTGTTCTGGGTCCCTGCAGGCTACTGGTATCACCATAAAGCAGGTGTGATCACTCGGTTCCTACACTACCCCATGAATTTTTTTTTTTATTTTTATTGTATTATTTTTATGTGTACCGTCAAATCAGATCTGACTGGTACAGGAGGAGATTGCCCCCTCCTTCTCCAGCA